AGTTATAGTCAACGCACATAGTTATATTTTATTTTTCTTAATTATTGTGTCTTTTATTTATTCCCCATATTCATATACATGCGAGCATGCTTGGCTAAAGCCTAAAAATAGGAGTTATTTTAACTAATTTTTCCCTATATATTTATTAAAAAAAACTTACTTTAAAAAAAAAAAATTAAGTACAATTACTTTTAAAAAAGTAATTCTTATCTTACTATTAATATAAATAATTTTTTCCTGCCTTTCAAAAATAAAATTTGCGTAATAGAGTTTTGAAAATTACATGTTAATTTCTCGCTTTCAAAAATAAAATTAGCGTAATAGAGTCCTGATTATGAAATCGTGATATCATTATTAAAAAAAATATGAAAGTCGACTTAAAAAATTAAAAAACGAAAAGCTCGACACTAGTTGAGTTGAACGATGTTCGAAGTTTCATCGTCATTTTTGTTCTTGATGTTATTTTTCAATTGATTTTTGGAACAATCAAGACAATCTATCTGGCTTCGATCGATAGATCCTTGAACTTATAATTAGTTACTCTACTTATTTTCCCTAAAATTGATTTCTTCAAAATGACAAACTAAACTCATATGTTCCCTTTCAAAATTACCCAATGATCATAAAGATGAATCTTGAGGTTTTCAACAAACACTGTTTGCAAGTGTCGGATCGAAAAATTCCAACTTTTTTCCTATCGTAACACTATCTATCGTATCTTATCGATCATCTTTGGTGGTGTTTCGCCTAAAAAAAAATTATTTTATCGACCACAATACTATGTCAAAGAACGTAACAGTCAATTATTGCGTAAAGGATCCACCCAAGCGTTTAATTCGGCCGCGCAATCGTTCCGAACCGCCTTCTGAACCAAGAAATTACCGGGTCATTCATTGCAAGGGCCATGGGGCCTACTGGCGTTCTGAATCCTACAATTTCCAAATTGTCTACGCAGGGATGATCAAAGCCCGCCATCTCGCCCTTCTGCTTTGCATTCTTGCAATCTTTACAGGAACCCTTCTTATTTTCTTTTGTGATCGCCATCATTCTTGAAGATTTTATATTCGAAACTGTGTCCAGGTTATTACCATGACCCCAAGTAAACCTTGGACGATTCACCCTTCTAGGCAACGGAGCGTTCAGAACCTCCAAAAACGAGCGGCAAACTGGCGCCGGTTCATGTACGAAGTTCGTTGCGGTGGGTATATCCCATGGATTTCTTGACATTAATTCCATTCTTTTCAAAACCACTAGAAATATGATGTCATTCTGTAAACAAAGAAAGTCGAAGTTGATATCTTGTTTGGCGGGAACCACCAGTGGACCCTCCGGTGCCGGAGAATACGGGTTCTTTACGAGGAAAATGGATATTTGACTCGGCGATTTGCCTATCTTCTCACACACGTTTGACACGAATTTCGTGTATTTCAACCCCACGTTGATTACGACGTTCCCGAATTTGATATCCTTTACTCCGTCGAAGAAGACCACAGGGGCCTCCGGCTGCGAATCCTCCCATCCGGGGGGTATCGCCATTTTCTGGCCAACACTTCTTAACTGACGTCAGATTCCCGGCAAGTGATTTCAGAACTTAATTTTCTTGTAAAGAAAAAAGTGAAGTAGAGTGAGTGTGATATAGTAGTTTCCGTTTTGATTGACTTTATGTGTACATAGGTTTACATAGATTAATCCTTATTAAAGAGTTACCAAACTTTTTTCTATTTCCAAGTCTAAAATTAATTTAAATTAAACATACATAATTACTTACTTAATCCCAATATCTCGTGAGATTCATTATTATTCATCCTAAAAAATTACTAATAATTTTACACGAAAATACACATATAAAGTTGGGTTTTAAGCTGGACGAAGGGTGTTAGGACAATTTTTAAATTGTGATTTTTTAATTTTTTTAATTATTAAATTCTGAAAATTAAATTAATAGAGTACCAGCGAGTCATTAACTTTTATAGCGAGTCTTGATGAATAGTTTTCAACCTTGTTTGTTTTGGTTAAAATCGGATTTTTACTTAAATTTTGATCAAAACTAATGAAATGTGTGATTTTGAAAAGTAGATAAATTTCATAAAATATGTGATCTCTAAAAAATTATGGACCAACAAGTACTTCGTCTACTATAATTCTTAAAACCCTACACCTCCCGATTAATTGTAAGTCCCTAAACCCTACCACGGTACCACCCCCGTTCTAACCTGGTCCCTCTACCCACCCCATTATTTTCCAACACTCTCTCCCTTGCAGCTCCCGACTTTGTAATCTCGATCATTTAATGTTCGATAAATTATAACCTCGATTAAATAATAATTTTGATTGGTCATGACCCGATGATAATACATTAAATTAATAATGTGCTAGGAAGTTCAGGAGTGATTTTCTCATATTACAACAAATAATTATTCAACGACGACATTGCTTTGAGAGCTCTTTTCGTGATTGAACTATTATCACTACAAGAAACTGCCTCTATAGAAACGGATTTTTACAAACGAACTCAATCCATTGCTATTAGTTTTCCAACGACATTTTTAAAAAATTATAATTATAGAGTAAATGTCTTAGCAACGGAATTACCAACGACATATTGCCGTTATGGAGATTTCGTTGTTGATCCGTTGGTAAATTTTGTAATATAATATAAAATATAAAATCTTACCAACGAAAATTGCGACGTGCTAACCATGGGAAGTAAAAAAAAAAAAAAAA